AGAACTTACTCTAGGAAAATCGCCTCTTGAAGTTTAGGTTTTGAAAAATGGGAGAATGAACCAAAAATCCCGTCTAAGTTATGTTTTGAACAGTTGCAGGTATCGCATTTGCGATAACAGGTTCGCAAATGCGAACTCGCAAATTCGACCAATGCTTCGCAAATGCGAAGCTTGGCCTGGCTTGCTGCCTTCGGAAATGCGAACAATTGTTCGCAAATGCGGCCATGTTCCAGTCGCAATTGCGACAATGAGCTTCGCAATTGCGAAAGTCCCCTTCCCAGACCTTTGATCGCAAATGCGAAGTAATTTCGCAAATGCAACGATGCTCACATTTGTGAGCCAGGCTTCGCAAGTGCGAAGTCTGCAGATCTGCAACATACCAGAAAATTCCTTAAGGCTCAAAACACTCCGTAGCCTATCCAAAACTCACCCGAGCTCTCGGGGCTCCAAACCAAACATGCACACAAGTCTTAAAATATTATACGAACTTGCTCATGCGATCAAATCGACAAAATAATACCTAAAACTACGAATTCAACACCAAAACACATGAAATTTTCAGGATAGTTCAAACTTCCTATTTTCTCTACCAACGGTCCGAATAATGTCAAATCACTTCCGTTCTTCACCAAATTTTACAGATAGGGTATAAATATTATAACGGACCTGTACCGGGCTCTAAAACCAAAATACGTGCCCGATACTAACAATATCAAACATTATTCAATTTCTAAAAAAAAAACAATAAAATTTTTCAGTTAATAATTTTCTTCAAAAATTCATTTCTCGGGTTGGGGACCTCGGAATTCAATTCCGGGCATATGCCCAAGTCCCATATTTTACTACAAACCCTCTGGAACCGTCGGAACACGGGTCCGGGTCCGTTTACCCAAAATGTTGATCGAAGTCAACTAAAATCATCTTTTCATAAATTTTTCACATAAAAGCTTTCTAGATACGCACCTGGACTGCGCACACAAATCGAGGAGAAATAAATAGAGGTTTTTAAGGCCTCGAAACACGGAATCGAATTTTGAAATAAAAGATGACCCTTTGGGTCATCACATATGCGTGTCAACAGTGACCCAAAAAATCAAAAAGTTCCCCTCTTTATATAGTAGAGGAGTTTTAACCCTAATACAAGTCTAAGTAAGGTAAAAATCCTTTTTTTTTTTTCCTTTCCTCCCAAGAAAACATGATCCGCAGTTAATATCGAACGTGATTCGTGCCGTGATACCCGGCTGATGGCGGATATTTTGGCTCCTCGTTTGTCTTCTTTAACCGTTTCTTCCTTTTACCCTCAGTTCTTTGTATTGCTCGAGCTGGATCTCTCCGGGTACGGCCATCCTCGATTTCCAATGTATCGCATGTCCGCTCTTGGTTCTGGTCTGCGGGCATCCTCGATCTTTCCCGAGCCACCGACAAATTATGTCGTTCCATATTTCTTCATCGAAAAATCGAGAATAACTTTTACCCGTATACAAATACATTGGGAATTAACTTTGGCTATTGCATGTGTTGTACATACAAACTTATCTGGACTCGTATGCGGAAGGATGTTTACATGATTTCAGCACCCAATTTCAGTAAAATAAGAAAAAGATGGAAATTAAGTATTTTTTTAACAAATGGACTACAACTAGAGTTGCTAGTTCCAAAGAAATAAAACAAGAATAAAGAAAAGAGGAACCCGTGAACTATACATTTGGCTTCATCTATTTTTGAGCCAACGCATGCAGAGTCAATGAAGATGGGCTTCTGTAAAAGGTGATACACGTAAAATTCCAACATTGAGTAATGAGTACTCTAAAGGTTTGACCAACGTGAAGATGGAGAAATCATAGCCAACAGATATGAGTGGAGGATTTATTAGTGATCTTGAAATCATGACTCTGGTGAAGATCACCTAACTTTTGGAATGGTTTCAATTGTATACCGTGTCGACATCAAAAAAACTTTTTCACTATTAAGTCTTCCAAAAAATAAATAAAAATAAAAATAAAAATAAATGCTAATAATCATTCATAAAAAGCATTTAACCTAACCACAAGACAAGTTATATATTACAATAAATCAAAATATATTGATAATATAAAAAAAAATAATGTACACTGTTTAATACTTAAATCTCTTATGGAATTAGGCAAAAGTGATTTGATATCAAGTGAAGACGTGGAGGGGAGTCGGAACCACTTCAGATTGACAATTACAATGACGATGGTGACACAAAAAAATGAATAAAGTTAAGAAGCTAAAAAGTAACCTAGTTAAAGAGCACGTGGGTTTAGCAAAGTCGGTATGAAGAACTTCCTATTGGTCACAAGTAATTCACGTGTTTACAACAAATGACAACAATAATAATAACAGACGTACAGTGTAATCTCACAAGTGGAGTTTGAATAGGGTATATATACGCATACCTTACCCCTACCTTATAAAAGTCGAGAGGTTATTTTTGATAGACCCTCGACTCAAAAAAATATGTAAATAGAATAATAAGAGAAGCAGTAACCACATCCAAAAAATAAGATAACCGAATCAACAAAAATAACAGGTAGTATTAGAAACTAAGAATATGATATACGAGAATACACTAGTATTACAGGTATAGAAAGCTAATACATGTATGAAAATGAATCACGTTCGACTACTCACTATCCCACTCATGTCTAATCACCTCTACCCAATACTTTTTTTGGCTTACCCCTACCTCTCATTGATCCCACCATAGCCAACCTCTCACACCTCCTCACTAGGGCATCTGCGCATCTCCTTTTTACATGTCTGAACCATCTCAACCTCCCTTCCCGCATCTTATCCACTACGGGGATTACTCCCACCTTGTCCAGAATATCTTCATTCCTAATCATGTCTCCTAGTATGCCCACACATCCGTCTCAACATGTTCATTTTCACTAATTTTATCTTCAGAACATGTCTTGACTGGCTAACACTTCGCCCCATACAACATAGTCGGTCTAACGGTCACTCTGTAAAACTTGTCTTTATGTCTCAATGTCACTTTCGTATCACATAAGACACCATCCGCAAGCCTTTGTTTCATCCATCCCGCTCTAATATGATGTCTGGCATCCTTATCAATCTACCCATTACTTTGGATTATAGACCTAAGTTGCTTGAAACTTCCTTTCTGTGGATGACTTGTGTATCTAGTCTCACTTCCATGTCAGCCTGCTGAGTCCCATTATTCAACATGCACTCCAAGTATTCTGTCTTAGTCCTGCTCAACCTGAAACCGTTAGACTACAAGATCTGCCTCCGATTGAGCTTAGATCTTTAACACTGACTAGCGTCTCGTCAATCAGAACTATGATATCTGCAAATAATATGCACCAATGTACCTTCCCTTAAATGTGTTGTGTCAACTCATCCATCACTAAGGCAAACAAGAAGGAGCTAAGAGCCTACAATACAAATATGCAATATATATATATATATATATATATAAGCAGAGGTGGGCCCACGTTGAAGGGAGGGAGGTCACTGGCCTCCGGTAACTTCGATTTTTTTTTATATATGTGTGTGTGTATACACTGAAAAAAGTATATATGTATATATTCCTGGGACCCCTTACACACAAAGCTCTGTGGGGGCACTGGTAGAATGCGCTGCATTCATGGCTAAACGCCCAAGATCAATTCCTCACTACTTCAAAGTTGCTTTCTATATTTTTAAGGTTTTTCAGTCAGAGAATTTGATATTGTTAGCCCAAGCATAATTTTAGTTGGAGAACTTGATATGGACAACCCAATAGCCTGTAGCCCAAATTCCTTAGTACTGCAGCTGCCCATGCTTTTTCTTCTTTTAATTTCTTTTTTTGCTTTTTGTTTGCTCAAAAGTTATCACATATTTTATGAGTATAAAACAATATAAATAAATCACGGAAAAATCATAGCAAATCGTAATAATCCATTGGACCAAGCGAAGAACATGGAAACAAGTACTCAAGGTTAGGGGGAGAAACATTAAAAGCCTTTATTGATAATATTGGTTTGGTCTGCCTCTCCATGAAGAGGTTCAGAGCCTTACAATGGTGTTTTCACTTCCCATAAGATGGGTATGTTTTTCCCTTCTCTCTCTCTCTTGTCAATAGTGGTGAAGAAGCAGCCTCCTTTCTAGGGCTTCCACTCTTAGTATTTATAGATGTAAGCTTCGTGAGCTGGCAATAAATGGTCGTGGCCACGCTGAGGTTCCGTCCCCATGGGGGAGTGAATGGGCCGTGCCCTCGTAGATTAAATCAGACAAGAGTTGAATCCTGTTATGAATAAGTGGCCATACCACTTATTAATTATGGATTAGCTCAAGACGAGATTAACTCCGTTAATTATCGTGAGATCGGATTTTGACCCATACAAATAGTTTAATAATAAGAATGTTAAAGAACCAAAATATAAGAAAGGATCAAATTGAATATTTAGTATAGTAGATAGATATTTTTGACCCTCTTCTCTAACAGTTTGTTTGGATGGTTGTTACGCATCGTTTCATAATGTATCGTATCGTGTTGTATTGTACTGTATTGTTTGATAAAAATAATGTTTTGATAGATTGTGTCGTTTGCCATCGTTCATGATACATGCACCATCAATATGAAGAATAAACTTGTAATATTATAAAGAAAAATCATGATACATGGTAAAATTAATATATGAAAAGGTAGGGTAAATGATAAAATAAAATTATTTAATAATAATAATACAGGGTGAGATTGAGAGAAAAAGACAAGGTAACGACGCGACCATACCAAATCGGCCGTTACATAAAGTGGCACATTTTATCGTTAAGTAACGACGGATTTAACGATACGATACAATAAAATTTAAGTAACAATCAAAGCAAATATCATATTTAAAATAGCGATATCATACAATACAATAGGTAACAATCATCCAAACAAGCTTTAAAAGATTTCACATTGTTTAACTAGTTTTAAAGCCCTTGTTATGCTTATAATTAAATGAAAGCTGTGAGTTTGTGGAGTAAAGTACTAAGAGCTTGTTTGTAGTCAAAAAAGTTGTCAGCTTTCCCAAAAAGAAAAACCCCAACAAAAAACTCTCCACTTCCTACACTCATCACACTCTTCTTTTACTTCTGTCTTTTTCCTCTTCACTTCATTCATGGCATTTCAGATGCTGCTTCTCTCCTTGTACATTCTCTTTTTCATAGCCTTCACTAGCTTGTACACTTCTACTTTTGCTGCATCTGATGTTGAGCTTCTCTTGTTAAAGATCAAACCCTCACTTCAGGGCAGTTCAGAGAACTTGTTGTTATCTTCATGGAACACTTCAGTTCCACTCTGTCAATGGAGAGGTCTCAAATGGGTTTTCACCAATGGAACTTCTTTGCTCTGCACTGATCTTTCTTCACCTCAATGGACAAGTCTTTTACTTTACAGAAACCCATCTTTGCATCTTGTTTCTCTTCAGTTGCCATCAGCTAATCTCACTGGAACACTCCCAAGAGAACTTGGTGAGCTTTCTACATTGCAAAGTCTTTATCTTGGTGTTAATTCACTACATGGGAACATTCCTCTTGAGCTTGGCTACAGCTCTTCTCTCTCTGATATTGAGTTGAGTAGCAATAACCTCACTGGGACAGTTCCAGCTTCAATATGGAATCTTTGTGATAGGCTTGTTTCTCTCAGGGTTCATGGTAATTCTTTGTCTGGTTCTCTTCCTAACCCTGCATTGCCTGATGCTACTTGTAAAAATTTGCAGTTTCTTGATTTTGGGGAAAACATGTTTTCTGGGAATTTTCCTGAATTTATAACTAGGTTTAATGGTCTTAAAGATCTTGATTTGGGGGATAACAATTTTTCTGGGCCAGTTCCTGACACATTAGCTGCATTAAAGCTGGAAAAATTGAATCTTTCACACAATAATTTTAGTGGGGTGTTGCCAAATTTTGGGGAATCAAAGTTTGGTGTGGAGGTATTTGAGGGGAACAGTCCTACTCTTTGTGGGCATCCTTTAGGGCCTTGTAGTGGAAGCTCTGGTTTGAGTCCTGGTGCAATTGCTGGTATTGTTATTGGTTTGATGAGTGCAATGGTGGTTGTGGTGTCATTGTTGATTGGGTATTTTCAAGGGAAAAAGAGGAAACATGCAGATGAAGAAGAGGATGAATTTGAGGAAGTTGAAGATGAGGAAACTGGTGGTGGTGGTGGTGGTGAGGGGAAGTTGATCTTGTTTCAAGGGGGTGAGCATCTGACACTGGAGGATGTGCTTAACGCGACGGGGCAAGTGATGGAGAAGACTAGTTATGGGACTATTTATAAGGCAAAATTAGCTGATGGTGGAACCATTGCTTTGAGGTTGTTGAGGGAAGGGAGTTGTAAGGATGGAAGTTCATGTTTATCTGTGATTAAACATCTGGGAAAAGTTAGACATGAGAATTTGATTCCTTTGAGAGCCTTCTATCAAGGGAAGAGAGGGGAGAAGCTTCTCATTTACGATTATCTCCCCAACAGAAATCTTCATGAACTCTTACATGGTAAATTCTTAGCTTCTTTTATGCTTTCATGTTTACTCTTTCAAGTTCTACTAACGAAAATCAGCGCAAGTCTACTCAGTCTCATGTAGATGGATATTCCTGATTGTGATGAGTTGAAATTCTTGTATTAGTCATTGCTTCATGTGTGTGGAGCAATATAAAGGATTAATGGTTAACAAAGGAAAGTAGCAGCAGATTGTTAGTCACATTTTTAGTACCTTGGACATTTTGCTTGAGAGACATTGAAATACATGGACTACAAGTTGCTGCCTCCTCCTCAAGGTTTGGTCGTAATTGGAGTATTAGTGCATAATTAGATCAATGAAAACAACCGTGAAATTATAAATCTGATTGAATCAACATCTTAAGAGTAACTGAATTAGTAATCTAATGAACCTAATAGAGATAAGAAGTCACAGGAATAGCGAGAATGTTCCACTTATTCTGACCTATAGATAAGTTAATCCTACCTATATCCTCTCCTGTGCTTAATCTTGCATTTCTTATGTGCTCTTGCATACACGAACTACCGTGAGTACCTGTTTTGCCAACAAAGAAGAAGTAGCCTCATTATATTTGCTTACTCATCCAACAAAAAAAAAACAGCTCATTATCTCTAGACTACGGATATCACTATCAGATGCCTAGGTCAACCATTCATCTATTATTTTACTTTCAAGAACTATGTAGCCCTAGATCAACTGATCATAGCTCATTTCCCAGCATTTAAGCTTGGACAGGTAAGCTTCACTCATTCTTTTACAAGCTTCATGCATGCCTAAAGATTTTGTGGCTGTTTCATCGTTCTTTCAACCTTGATTTACTATGCAAGTTTTGCACCATCACTCTGTCTTAAAGAATATCCATCAGGCATAGGAAGAACTATTGGGAAATTGTGGTAAATGAAGGTATAAGTGACCGCATCTTCAGTCACTTTGTACCAGTAATCTTCCGTCTTTAAGAAGAATTAGTATTACTCTTTTATCAGAGAAAGCGATATGTTGATTTTGGCTCTAGGCAATCCTTGTAAAGTAGATTTGGATAGTATTAAATTATTTGAATGACACCATTTGACTTTCAGACCTAATATAGTCACACTTATTGTGGCTGTTTCTGTATTGTGAATGATAACATAAAGGACGAGTAAAATTGATTAGGAATATTTTTTTTATCAGTAATTTGATTATGATATTTCCTGATTGTGTTCAGAATCAAGAGTTGGGAAGCCAGTATTGAATTGGGCTAGGCGACACAAAATAGCATTGGGCATAGCCAGAGGACTAGCGCACCTTCATGGTCTGGAAACACCCATTACCCATGGGAATGTTAGGTCAAAGAATGTTCTCGTCGATGAGTTCTTCGTTGCCAGGCTTACTGAATTTGGACTTGACAAGATAATGATCCCAGCTGTAGCTGATGAAATCATAGCACTTGCAAAAGCTGATGGTTACAAGCCACCTGAACTGCAAAGGATGAAGAAGTGCAATTCGAGAACTGATGTTTACGCTTTTGGAATCCTACTACTGGAGATTCTGCTAGGAAAGAAGCCTGGAAAGAATGGAAGGAACGGCGACAATGTTGATTTGCCTGCACTAGTGAAAGTAGCCGTTTTGGAGGAAACAACGATGGAGGTATTCGACGTGGAGCTTTTGAAGGGAATTAGGAATCCAATGGAAGAAGGTTTGGTACAAGCATTGAGACTTGCGATGGGTTGTTGTGCTCCTGTGGCTACCGTTAGACCGTCGATGGAAGAAGTCGTACGACAGTTAGAGGAGAACAGACCGAGAAACCGGTCTGCTTTGTACAGCCCTGCTGAAACTAGGAGTGGAAGTGGTACTCCATTTTAAAGCTCATGTTGTGATTTTAGTAATGAGTATTGTTTCATATTATGCCTCTCTTTTTGTCTCCTAAAGGAGAGAGGGCTAAATGGTTATAGCTTTCTTACTCTTTCAACTATTTACCTTTGGCTTTGCATTGTTAGGGAAAATCTTTCCATAGACAAATTGACAATAGACAATATGTCACGTTAGGCAGCAAATTGGATATTATAGTGTGCTTTTTTAGATTGTGTGGAGTCAAACAAGATTTTATTTTCTAAATGATGATAGTCCGTTAAGCAGCGTAAACATGAAGCTGACCAGGGTGTTATCACTTTTAGCCCAACTATTTATATCTGGTAGCCGAAAGTGTATAAAATTTGTATAATTTTTATATATAACATATATATATATATATATATATATATATATATATATATATTTTTTTTCGACTATTATTTTTACAACGGCTATACAGTACCATTTTCTCTTTAAACTTCTAAGGAAACCGCCACAAAAGTTATTGAAAGCCCAACACAACTGGATTCATAGACAGTAAAGGGCCACTGGTGGATTGGTCCTTATGCTGGTGGTAATGGACTACTTCAACGAGAAAATCGGGTGCCGAACAAAAGCCCAGTAAGAGAATAAATTGTAAAAATTGCACGGGGTGCCCTACATTTAAACTATACCCATTTTTTTAAAAACTTTTAACTTTACCTACTTTTTAAATAACTTCAGTCCCCTTTCTCCTCCTCCTTCTCCTTCTATCGTTTTCTTCTTCTTCTTTCTTTCTTCGTTCTCATCGTCCAATTCATAATCTTATAGGGAATCGAAGGAATCACCTAGACTTATTCTTTTTACTTTCTCATGTAAATAATAATAATGATGTGAATGCTTGAATTAGTCAAAAAATGAATTAAGTTGACAATGTTGAGCATATACCATGCTATAAATATCACCATTGCTGTTGTCAGTTTCCTCACCAAGAAATCCAAAAGGAAAACAAGCTAGATATGGCTAAATACACAGCCTTCGTTGCCCTTCTCTTCTGTCTTCTCCTTGTCGGTGCTACTGGCCAGTCAAATTAAGTAGCTTATTTTTTTTTAATCAAATTAAAGGATTGGGATGTTCAGGATTGTCCCAAGATAACAAAAACTTCCTTCGATAAAAACTTCAGCTCTAGAGCTGAAGTTCGACAGTTCCAAAACAAAAACTTCAGCTCTAGAGCTGAAGTTCGACAGTTCCAAAATAAAAATTTGAGCTCTAGAGCTGAAGTTCGCCAGATACAAAACAAAAACTTCAGCTCTAGAGCTGAAGTTCGCAAGTTAAAACAAAAACTTCAGCTCTAGAATTGAAGTTCGCCAGTTACAAACAAAAACTTCAGCTCTACGAAGTTAGCCAGTTACAAAACAAAAACTTCAGCTCTAGAGCTGAACTTCAGGCCCGACTACTAGAATGCTGAAGTTTTGCGTGATTGTCTTTGCTACTTCAGCCCCGTATGCCGAAGTTATGCGAAAAAGTGGGTACGCTTGCAATTTTTTTTGCAAAGCGGGCACAAGTTAAAACGTGACACAAAAAGCGGGTATAGATGCAAATGCCCCGAATAAATTAGTCATGTTTGGAGTTTAAAGGTTCTCTTCTTCTTCTCGACACCAATTTCAAAAGCTAAGCTTTAATGATATCTGTCATGTACCAAGTGCCTTAATAGTTACTCTCTCCGGTCCAAAATAAGTGATCAATTTGCTTTTGGCACGCTCATTAAGAAAATACTAAATTTTATACAAAAATACCTAGTATGACTAAACTACTCTTAATTAAATATTTAATGTGAGAAGTAAGAAAACTTTTTAGAGAAATGTACATAAGGGTAATTTTGTAAAAACAAATTGAATTCTTTCTTGATTATATAAATGAACACTTATTTTGGACCAAAATAAAAAAGTAAATTGATCACTTATTGTGGACCGGAGGGACTAATATACTCTAGTTATTCAGCTGTGTCAATTTGAGGTAGGTTAGTTCATGGGGAGGATTGCCCTTCATGTTTGATGTTTTTTCCCTTTAAGATCCTTCACTTTACCTTGGCATGCTTCCATCACTACTCAGAAGACAGCATCGCCCATTCAATAAGTCTTTATCTGTCCCGCCTTTCCATTTGATTCCGAATTTTCCTCTGATTTTGTTACAAGGGAAGCGCATTTTAATGATTATTATTACATTCTTCAAAGCCACGGGTTCGATTCCAGTTATCTTATCAAAATTTTAATGATTATTGTCACATTCAAGCTGGCGGAGAGCTTGATAACTGCTCCACTTTATCAATGGAGCAAGCAATGTCATTTCATTCGTTGTCTCAGTCTCATACTAATTGTTATTCAAATTTTATTGTATTCTATCGTTAAATACGTCGTTACGTAACAACCAAAATTGGTAAGTAAGGACACCTTAGGAGTTTCAAGTTATGGTTGCTCTAGTGCATTAACGGGGAAGTACTTCACATGGCAGTGTGCAGTAGAGGCTGGGAAGCCAGCAAGATACTTGTGGGCAAGAAATTGGCATGTTTTGTAGGTAAGGAATGGGCATGTACTATTCTGCCTAATCACATGTAATCCTTCTGGCATCCATATCTTCCAAATCATGTTTGGCACAACAATTCAGTTTACTGCAATACTCAACAATTAAGGCCAAGGAAAACTGCAATTGCCATCATAATAAGTCAACATTCGTTGACATTTACAATACGGGGAAAAGTAAAAAAGAAATAGGCAGCAATAACTTGAATTATGAAGCAAAACCATAAAATAATTACATTATATAGGATGACAGTTTCAGTAATTAAAGCTAAACATGTTTAACAATAAACCAGCAAATCAACTTTCATCTCTTTCTTTTTTTTTTTTTGGTTTCTTTTTCGTATGTGTCTGCAATCATTAATACTATGCTTCTAAAGTCCATATTGAGAGGAGAAGGAAAAAAAGAAGTCCATTTCCTATCAACCATATGCAAGATATGTAGTTTGCTGATCAAGATTGTAAAGCAAGCTTGGTAGAAGAGAAGGATAAATGATTCCAAGGAGAGAAGGACAACACTTCAACACCTGCTCCATAGATCCTCGAGTTAATTTTCCAGTTGAAGCAGGGTGAGGTTGAACACTGCTGAACTGGTACATTAGACAGGTGGAACAATGGACAAGGGGATTCAAATGTGTAAAATAAAAATATATTTCTTGCTGGTGATGTTTAGGAAGGGATGCAAAAGGTAGAGAAGGAATTAGAATTGGAGAAAATTGGCTAGATTACGTGACAATTTCACTGGACAGGTAAAAGTAATATGTGATTGTGTTCATCACCAAATGCTCAATGTCTTAGACATTAACATTGGCGGCCCCTGCGGCAGTTAAGTGCACCAGCATTTGAGGTAAGAGTGCCAACTAGTGAAGAGGACTTGGCTGCTAAGCTTGATGCCCTAGCATAACTGGCTCCAGCGCCACGTCCGGATGGGGTAAAGTAGGCTCCATTAAGCATAAGGTCTCCATCTGATCTCCAGTTCCAACGCTTCCACTCTCCTTCTGATGGCTCCACTCTATGTGTCACCTGCCAACCAAATTCCACCCAACTTCAATTACTTCTTTCTAAAATAAGAACATTTCAGTTTTGGACTCTTAGCCCCTTCTACTTACACTAACCTAATTACCAAAAAAACAGCAGAAGTTAGAAACTAACCTGTTTGGCAAAAGGGTTGGCTGGGGCAAGGTATCTGTTGCCTTGGCTGTTAATTGTAGGAGAAGCGCTGCCACCAATAGCATACATCTCCCAGTGTGTATAGTCATTGTTCACCACATGGAAATAACCATGTCTACACCTGCATATCCATCATTTTGCAATACTTTTAGCCTAAGAAGAGATGACAAAAAATGTTTAAGTGGAACAGAACAAATTTTACCACACATGTACCTTGGCATTCTCTGAATGAGACCCTCACCAAAATGGTTGTAGGCAATAGTCACTTGCATAATCTTGTCTCTAACATAGGAGTCGCTGTGACCCAATAACATCACCTGTTTTTTAAGTTAGATTGACCAATAATTAGTCTTTAAACTAAAACGTGGCTCACTAGAATCGAGCAAAGTTACTGCATCCAGGTAAAGAAATTAACCTCATTGTGGTGGGTAAAATAATTGTTGGAGATGGTAATTGCAGTTGATCCCATGATAGCATCAATGAGGCCATCGGCACAGTTAGCGAGAGAGTTGTGATCAACCCAAACGTGGCTGGACCCAAAGATGGAAATGCCATCACCATCAGCCATTGTCCTCCAACCATAGTGACCTGGCGAGCTACGAACCATGGCATTACCAGTTGGTTTACAATCATGAATATTGATGCCGTGAATAATGATATTAGTAACAAATTGGACCGTTATACAAGCCCCATAGGCAATATGAACATTCACACCACGCCCATCAATTGTCTTGAAACTGTTCATAATAAGCTCTTGCTTAAGTGTAATAACCATGTCCCGTTTAAACACAATCCACAATGGTCTGTCCTGAATTACAGCATGACGAAGTGTTCCGGGTCTGGGATTTACGGGGTCATCGTCACCTGCGTCAGTGACAACATAGTACTTGCCATCGCGGCCACCAATAGCATTGCGTCCGAAGCCAATAGCACAATCAGCTAGACGCTTGCGGTTACGTTGCCAATTGCGGTCACAACGCCAGCAATCGTCAATAGGATTTCCAGATCCACATGAGAAAAAACCCAATTTCCTCCTTTCTGTACTATTCCGAATGCTCCTGTGTAATCAAGAATTTGTAATTAAAGGTAAGAAACAGCTAAACCTAATACAATGGCTAGTATAACGCCATCCATCAAATAGTTCCAACTTCTTTGTGGCAAAATCAAGAACCATCTCACTTATTCAATTAGTACACGTATTTACCAATTTAGTCGTGAGTAATTCTAGTTTATACTTTTTGATAAGCATAACAGTAAAAGTTGGCACCACTGGCTGTCTTTTTATTTTTTATATACTTTTCGATAAGCAAAGTAGTGAATTATCTAAGGGAAGCAAGTAGCAAAATTAAAATTGGCCGATTGGACATGGACAAAAATAGAAATATCTTTTGAGGTCAAGTTAGTTAGTGAAGTGATAAAAGTGGGTAGAGGAATACGGTCTATACGGAACGGTACTCTTCACGTTTTCCTTGTAGAATAATTAACAAATGTTCAAATTAAATCTAT